CATCGGACTGTAGTGGGAACCGATGTAGCCACCGAAGTTTCTGTCGCAGGCTCTGCCTTTTGCGGCTTCTGGCTCGCAACATCACCTCTCATTTTCACCACACCCACAGGGAGGTAAAAGCAAAGATGGTTCTTCTCATTTTCAGATGGGAAAACTAACACCCGAGAGGCCGAGTGAGAGGCTCGGGGCTCCACAGGAGCTATGGTGGCAGAGCTGAAAAGCTGCACAGGCCCCTCGACCCTGGGCTGCTGCTCCTTCTGCTCGCCCGCCGCTAAGGCGCCCGGGAGAAAGCTGGATCCCCCTGTGGCTTCCCTTTCAACAAAAAGGCAACAGGTACGTGAGCAGGCTTAGCCAACGATGAGAAAATACACTCAAACGTATCATGCCTACAAACTTTCAGAGTAATTAAAAGAAAACCACAAAACCACGGCTTTACCAAAGCCACAAAACCACGGCTTTACCAAAGCCACAAAACCACGGCCTTACCAAAGCTACAAAACCACGGCTTTACCAAATACTCACTGAAGAAAAGACTGGAAAGTTCCAGGAGAATAAATAACTCGCCAGCACCACATAGGGGGAGGGGAACACATCCTAGGGAAATTTTATTTTTCTGAGAAACTTTTGCAACAGTTCTTACTGAATCAAATTCAAGGCAAGCTCTACCAATATTAGTTAGCTTTAAGAAATGTAAGGAATGAGAAATAAATACAAAGCCAATGCATTGTGGTAAACTTGTTTCCCTAGATTGTCTGGGAATAAACTCATCTCTTTGTACTTAAGTGTAACTTTTCTTTCTTTCTTTACAAATTGAAGTACTGTCCCTGGGGAGTCTACCATTGGGAGAAAAATGCAATTGTTACCGCGATTGACTATTTCTGAAATGAATCCAACTTCCTACTCATGTTTTAAAAGCTAGTGCTTTCAAATCATCAGGTGGCCACAACAACGTTACAGTTTTCTTTAAATGCACACAGTCAGATCATCCCAAATCATCTTGTCTCATGATGTGAAAACTAAAGGAAAAAATAGGTGGGAATTGGTTGACAAAGTCTGATTATAGCCCAAGCTTTGGGCCTATAGTGTAGTCCTATCTCATAGTTAGAAAATGCCTGTAGGAGATATAGACCTTTGGCTAAATTTGGATAAAGGCAACAAAATGGGCTGTTGTTCTTTCTTTAAGATCCCTAGTATTCATCTTGCTTCGAGCCCATGAAGTCACAGACCACACTCAGATCTCGCGTGAACTGACAGGCACTCACGTCAGGCTGTGGGCACATGGAGTGCTTGGCCTCCTCGGTCTCTGCGCCTTGTTCATGATCACTTCCAGGGCGATGAGCGCAAAGCAGCTATGTCTATTTGAACTGTTTCCAACCCATTGCCAGGACCTGCTCAACCTGCCCACTGTGGGGCAAATGACTCCCAGGAGCAAGCGAGCAAAGGGGAAAAGGGGAGACTCGAAGACCCAAACCGGCAGATCATGGCCCCAAGCAGTTACCGATAGGCTGCAATGTATCAGGACAGCCCTGCACATCATGTACTTGTACAGAAAGGATGGCTGAGAACTTGCTGGGATCGTCGTAAAGGTGACAGGAAGTGCACAAGATGGGGTTGCACCAGGACAAATGGAAGCCAATGATAAACACCCCTCTCCCACCAAACCTCCTCACACACGCAGGGGAGGTAAGACAAGGCAGCATCATGATCAGAAACTTTCTTTGGTGCACCAGTGAACTAAATAACCAGGATCTATATTTTACACAATAATCTTGTCAGAAGAAAAGATGGAAGACCTCAGTAATGTATACCACTCACACAGGACCCTACCCAGAGAGAAGCTGTGGTGTCTCACACGGCCTCTCTGACTGGAACTGAAGCAGAAATGCCTTCTGAAGCAACCTAGGTTGTGAAGGGATCTGCACTGGTCACACAAAAGCCAGCTCCCTGCTTTTCAGATGAGAACTAGTCATCCCCAGGACACAATCTGACTAACGAGATCTTTGGGTTTGCACATAACCATTTTCTGTTCCAATGACTTATTGCTATTCAACTTAAAATTGGCTCTCCCACCTACCATATTTATAGTGTAGCTCAGCTACAAAATCAAATGATAAAACTTGTTGGAGCTCTTGTTCCACAAGAGATGTATTTCACCAATCTCTCTACATCTGTAAATGTGTATTACCCAAAATTAAATAACTCAAGCATGTTAAAACTTGCCTTGTGATATGTTTCTTGTTGCTGTAAGAATTGCATGCAATAGCATCATCCACAAAGACAACGTTCTATACCCTACCTTGGTAAGTAGCAACTGGGGGTCTGAAAAGCTTCTGGACATCCATCTTAGATACAGTTTTTGATCTCTTTTTGTCCAGAGCAAAGAATAGTAAAGAAAATCAAAGCCTAACGGAAAAATTAGGCCAAGACTTAATGGACCATGTGAACCACAACCTCCATCAACCTGAGCCCAGGACTAGATGGTGCCCAGTCACTGCGACTGACTATTCTGATCCAGATTCAAATAGAACGTCCTGGACAGAGAGAGACAAATGTAGGGGGGGAAACCATCAAAGGGACAGAGACAGAGACCGGTGGAACCCCTGAGACTCTGGACCACAGATCCCCGTCAAACCTGGAACTGAAGCCACTCCTGGATCAACTTTCAGTCAAACAATCTCAACTGAGAGGATTCCATTGTATAGCGGCCCTCTGGGACAGGATAGAACAGCCCCTGGGGGGTTCTGAGACTGTAACTCTTTACAGCAGTAGAAAGCCTCTTTTTTCCCCTCCTGAGCAGCAGCCGGTGGTTTTGAATTACTGACCACATGGTTCGCAGCTGAATGTGTAACTTATTATGTCACCAGCGCTCCTAGCCAAATAACAGACAGAGAGAAATGTACTACTCAGTACAATCAACGATATGAGATCAAATGGACAGCATCTCGCTAGAAACAAAGCTTGGAAGCGAGAAGAGGGAGCGGTGCAGAGCCAATGGGGAAGCCAGGGAGAAACTGGGAGGAGTGTTGTTACATGGAGATGGGAACCAGTGCTTTGAAACAAACGGGATATCAATTGTTGAATGGAAATAAAATGCGAACGTGAATAAAAGGGAGGAGGGAACCGTGAAATGTGAATTGTGAGAGACTCCTGCTTGAGATAATTAGACAAAGTTGGCACTGGGATTGAGAACGCGTGAGTAAGGCTTGAAGATAACGAAGGCTAAAAGGTTTCCTGAGAGAAGATGTGGAAGAAAGGAGGGCAGCTGACATCAAGTCAACCTAGACCTTGACTCTGAACTGGTAACTAGATGAGTCTTGGCACGACCTTCTCATGGGCCAAGCGAGAGCGGGAATGGTCGAGCAGGCTGGTAACCTTCCATCCCTGCAGCCCCTGTGGACCCTGGGACTTGAGAGTTAAGAGCCTGAGTCACAGAACCAGAAAAGAATGAGATCGGTGGTCTGACAGGAGAGAAGAGCTCATGACCACTGGGTCTCTGCAATGCATCAAGATGATCTTACAAATATCTCACTGCAATTACGAAAATGAGGGCATTGCCACTGAGATCAGGAGAGTTCTCCGAATAGGAGCCCTATAGGTTCCATTCCTACTGACTCAAGGCGTGCATGCTAGAGCTTTTATGTCTTGTGTTTAGGGTGCTCTCTATTGTTTTTATCTGAGTAAATATTTTTAAACGTTTGGGGTCATTTGTGGTGATGCTCAAAACTTACTTTTCCTAATTAGTAAATCATCCTAATCACAGGGATATTGGGAGCTTGGTCCTAATGGCCACTCTTGGATGGACTGTTGAGACTGAAGGACAAGGAATCAGATCCCAGACTGTATTTTACAATATCATAAAGTCTGAATGAGTCCTGAGAGCCCTTTGCCAGCTTCTTTTCTAATGCACAATCTTCATGAACTCACTCACATCGTGGGCATTTCATATGCTCTGATCTGACCCATGGGGGGCTCCTTTCTCGCTCCCCAAATCTCTCCACCGAGAGATGCTAGCCAGTCTATTGTTTGGCAGTAGATTCAAAAAATGTCTTGCTTTATTTTACAAAATAGGTTCAACAAACTTGCACTGACATTTGCATTGGAATTAAGTTCCGCAGGAACCCAAACCTCAAAGAGCATGAGGCAAAAAGTCCGCCTCTTTCAGGCTGAGAAAACACTCTCAGTCCAGATACCTGAGTGTCTAGTCCCATGTGGCTGACTGCCATGCACACTGCTGGTCCCTGGATCACAGCTCCACTCACAGAGAAGACCATGCGAATAACCCCAGTACAGCGACAGCAGGGATGGCGAGTACCTACAGATGGGTGCTATCATCACAGTGGGCCTTGGAAAATGTTGCTGTTTCAGGATGAACCCCATGTGAAAGAGACCCTTATATACAATGTTGCCTGATTCTATGCCACCTTCCTGATAATTGACCAAGTCCATCATTGTAGCATTGTTTATTTGGAGCGTCTTATACCTAGGACCCTCACCTTCCAGTACAATATTACACACTATTCTGATGTGAACCACAGGGGTTAGTGCTTAATTTTGGGAAGTAGATCACTAGACCTTTGCCCCCCTCTCAGTCTGGAAGTTCCACTGAGTCCAATCTACCATGGGCAGACCTGTTGCTACTTAGACCCTTGGCATAACTTCCAGCATCATACCAACATGAAAACTACCACAGTAAAAATTGGCAGAGGTGGCTTGAAAGATAAAGGCAGATCTATTTCATCCCTTGTCTGCACGCTTGTTGTCCTATGGTAGCTTCTGTGTTGCTGTGATGCTGGGAGCTATGTCACTGGTATTTCAAACATCAGCATGGTCTAGCAGAACATCCAGACTAAGAGCAAACAATGAAGAAGGACAGTTTCAATTGCAGGATTTCAAACTCTAATTTCAGAGAAATTTCTGATGTTTTACATGTGTACCAACATTATTCCTAAAACTTCAGTTAATAAAAATCTTGACAGTAATTAAGGAGAACACTGGATCACCTGTGCGTGCTTTGAGACCCAGTGACGAAGAACATTGAGCACTCGGTTGGTGGCTGTTCTGCGTATGATGAACTCTTTATCGCATGTTCTCTCGGTGTTGTTAAAACCTGAGGAGGAAAAGAAGCAGACCCACACTGTAGTTAAAGTCAAATCTTAGGAACCGGGAAGAAAAGGGCACTTATTTTAGGGCACTGGTTCATGAAACACAGATGACACATCTTGGCAGGGAGGTACAAGGGGGTGCAGACAGCTTACCTATTATAGTCGCAGTGGCAAGGGAC